TCTCTACTGCTGCTAGTACTACTACTACTACTACTATAACTGCTACTGCTGCTGCTACCACTACTTTTACATCGACTACTAGCAGTAAGACAACTAAACTAGCCATGTCCTCAAGTTAGTACTATTTTTATATAAATACAAACATGTATTTTGCTACGAGTACACAAATCCTAAGTGTAATCATTTCTCATTTAACCTTCCGAATGCCGAAGTTGTCACTCTTCTGTAGTCAAAGATTTCCTTGTGTCCCAAGATAGGATTTACAGTGTTGTGAAGAGCAGCGATCAGTATTGGTCGATTACCCATGCCGCTAGGGGCACTGCGAGTCCACTTTGATTGTAATCATCTGTGAAAGAAGGAATTTGTTCAAGTGAAAAATTGTCTATCTCATTCCTGACTTTCAAGCTTCAAGGCCTTGTTGTCGAAATTGTGTTTGACTGTGAGTTTTACACCGCGAGAAAATGCAGCCAGTGTTGATTTTGTAACTTGAAAGTTTCTATTCTCTAGAGTTGTTTGAATGTTTTAGTTTTTACTCACGTATGGATGCACAGATGGACGAACAGGCTCATGGGAATGACAGACAGAGAGAAATAAATAACCACCGAATTATCAACTTTTTTAAAAATAGGTAAAGAAAAATACCTCATCTTTCCTCCCAGGAATTGCAGGCCTGAAAGACTGACTTAAAGAATCACGTTTCATATACGAACCTAGCTGGAGACATCACAGAAACCCCGTTTAACAGCGTACAAATTATATTGCTACAATTTACGTTTACCTTTAGTCTAGGCTCGCAGCCACGAAGTTAGCTTGGGGTGGGGCCTCATGTGACGTGAGCTGCTCTATGTTCCTGTGCCTGGGGGTGAACCAATTTTACTTTCAACAAGACCCTCCACCCAGGCAGTCTTTTTGACCCCAAACCTTTGTGTTATTTCAAGAATTTTCGATAAGCAAGTTGAGTCTTCTTTGATGACACGTAACTCGTACTTTCTAACACGAAGCATTGGCTTGCTTGTATTCTAGGGCCCCCTCAACTCACCTGACGAGGCTCAGAATATACGAAGGCTTAACACTGAACATCTCAGCGGCAGTAGCTGATATGTAAATACTTTAACTTGTTCAGTACCAGAAAGTCTGGTAGCAGGCAGGTCACGGAAGGAGAGTGACAGCCCATATTTAAAAGAAAATTATGGCATTTATTTTGAATAGACTAAACTCGCTGTAGAATGTTTCTCTTATTTGTCCTACTGCTTATGCCCCAAAGCGATGCAAAGAAGAGTTGGGTGCAGCTTCCTTTTTTTTTTTTTTAGTTGCGTAGCTTGGGTTAATATCATATTTCGTTCTGTAATGTCTCTTTTAATTGTAAAGTAAGTAAAAACAAGAGTCTTAGAACAGTAGAAAAACCGAAGCAATGATACCTACAAAGTAAACGGACCCTCCGATATGCAACACCAAAGTTAACGGGACAATCATCAGGCTAGTTAGTACATTAAAATACTTAGGCACCCTAACATAAGATGGAAGATGTATTAAAGAAATTAAATATAAAAAAGCTCAAGCGAAGGCAGCATTTTACAAAGCAAACAATATTCTATGCAATCTTTCTTTGTCAATTGTGAAGAGAAAAAGAGTTCTTAAAAGCTATGTAAATGCTATCCTGATATACAGAAGTGAATCATGCACAATTGGTAGATTAGAGAAAAAATATTTGGAAGCTGCAGAGATGTGGTTTTATATAAGAGTGATAAGAATACAAAGAAATTGACTCTTGAAGAGACAATCTGCCATTTTTTTTTTTTTTTTTCGTCATGAAATGAGAAGTGAAAATATCTGGAGTACATTGTGACAGTTGGAAAGATGGAGGGGATGAAAGACAGAAAGAAACCGAGAGGAAAGATGCTGGACTGTTTAACATCATGACATGGAGGTCGTCAGTGTCAGAGTTGACTGACACAAGACACAAGACAGAAGGTTGTGGATAGTCATGACTTCCACCGTCACAAGACCTGGACTATAGGAAGAAGTCTCTCTTTTACTCCCTCACTTCATATTTTCTTAGTCGGCCTCTTGCTTGTAACGTGCTGTTCTTATCTAGTGGGCTCTAGCTGCTGGCTGATTTTGTTCCATTTTAATAAGATTACCAAACCTTTAATTCTTTGATGCTGTAAGAAATTTGTCGCCGGTATCGTGCCAACTATTATCCATACTTCTTCATTGGTGACTGCCTCTCCTTTTTCGGTATTTGTTTTTATGTTTCATCTCATCTCAAATGTTGTAATTTTGCATTTATATGTTTCCAAGACTGTGCATGTCTAGCACTGATAGCACAAACCTGGTACGAATAGCACATTTACCATTTAACCAGAGGTAAATATAAGACATTATGTTGGGGTTCGTACTGTTGTGTGGTGTGCCCTCACATATAAGACATTATGTTGGGGTTCGAACTGTTGTATAGTGTGCCCTCACATATAAGACATTATGTTGGGGTTCGTACTGTTGTGTGGTGTGCCCTCACATATAAGACATTATGTTGGGGTTCGAACTGTTGTATAGTGTGCCCTCACATATAAGACATTATGTTGGGGCTCGTACTGTTGTGTGGTGTGCCCTCACATATAAGACATTATGTTGGGGTTCGTACTGTTGTGTGGTGTGCCCTCATATATAAGACATTATGTTGGAGCTCGTACTGTTGTATAGTGTGCCCTCACATTTAACACAGTATGTTGGATTTGTACTGTTGTGTGGTGTTTCCTCACATATCATGCGTTAATTAGCACTGATAGAGTTAGGTTTCGATGACATTTTAAACATATGTGCCGTCTCCGTAGTCAAGGTTTGCTACAGTGTACAACTGTTGTCTTTGGGTATATTATGTGATGAGACCTCAATCTCCTTCCCGGTACGACTCTCGTACCATTGCCTAAAATCTACACGAACTCTTTTTTAACAGTAGAAAGTTGGAAACAAATCTTAGTAAACAAGGATCCAGAAATAGTTAATGCCTTTTTGTTAATAGCGATTTTAGTACAAATAACAAATTTAGCGATTACTATACCAAACATATAACCTCAACAACGATAAAAACTCCAATTTGGGGTTATCTAGATTAAACTATTATTAACTAGATTTTATTAAGCAATGTCCTTTTGTTGAAGAGAAAGTAATTCCATCCAAGTAATAGTTTTTAGTTGACCATATAAATGGTGTTTCTTTGTGGTTGATTTCTGGCCACAAAGAGAGGGCGCGATTATAAAAAGTAACCAGACTTTAAATGTGACATTTTAGTTGACTTGTTGAGATGTGTTTGTGTGTGGTGAGATTTGAAAAAAAAAAGACAGATTAATATATAGACAGATAAATACATATGAAGCTATATAATATGTAGCTCAAAATACAGAAAGGAAGCGGGAAATATTTATGGGTAGATAGGCATATCTGTAGCAAAGTAGACAGAAAGGAAAGCAGTTAGGTGTGCCGATAGACTACTAAGCTTATCAAGCCATATGTTAACAGGCGTGTATAGATAACAAAGCGTAAATAGGCAGACATATGTATATAGAGAATATATAGATAGACTGACAGACAGAAAGACAAAACGAACGAATGAACGAACGAATGAACGAACGAACTGTATTTTAAAAGGTCACCTTTTGACAGACAGATATACAGGCATACAATTAATCGTTTTAATCTGTCGCCTCAATCGTTTTAATCTACAATTTGTTTGTCTGTCGACAGGCAGACAGACAGATGGCCTGAAGGGGGAGGGAGGTAGGGATAGATAGGCAGACAGAGAGACAGACAAACATCACAGACAAACATGCGGATGGAAGGATGGATGGGTGTGTGAATGGAAGGATAGACGCATGTATTTCAACGTGAATAGATAGTGGACAGATGAGTGACTGTGTGGATGGATAGATGTATAGATTGATGGATGGATGGTTGAGTGGATGGATAATGGATGAACATAACATGACTAATGTGATGGGTGAGATAGGAATACTATAATAATAGGATCGGTAGGATGAAAGTTTAGGACATATATTCATTCATTCATTCAGTAGCATGTCCCTCGCGGAACCTCGCTGCCATAACAACCCTCCGGAAAACCTTCCTATCCTGAGCAAGATGTCCTGCGTCTGATACACCCATCTGGAGATCATCTGCCACATCCTGCACCCATCTTCTCCTTGGCCTTCCTCTTCCTCTCTTCCCAGGCATATACCCCTCCATTATTGTTCTCTCTAGACTTCCATGACGTTTCAAGTGACCAAAATATTTCAATTTTCTTTGTTTTATTGTCTTTACTAGCCAACCCTCTTCAATATTCAGCTCTTGAAGTATGGATGCATTTGTTCTTTTCTTTACCCAAGATATTCTTAGAACCTGTCTGTAACATTTATATTCAAATGCATTTATGCGCTGTTCCGCTTGTTTAGTAAGTGTCCAGGTCTCACAGGCGTATGTTGCAATGGGAAAGATGCATGCTCTTAAAAATCTGACCTTTGTAGTTCTATCTGTACAATTCCATAATTTATTCAGTTGTTTTAGTCTTTGAAGAGCAATTGATAGTCGCCGTTTAATTTCTTTCATTGTGTCGCCATTGTTGGTAACCATATATAGGAATAGAATATATAAATAGAATAGGACATATATAGGAATAGAATATATGAATTGGTGTATGGATGGAAGAACGGACGGATGGAATAGGCTAGGATCGAGAATATATAGGATGAATAATTTACAATGGAAGGATAAGATGTGTAGTATGGATATAGTGGATGGATCTATGGATGGATTGAATGGACGGAATAATGGATAACTTTGATGGATATAATGAATGGACTGATTGCGTGAGAAGTACATAAATAGAAAAACTGACAGCAGTCATATGGCAGTGTCTCATTCATTACGTTCGTCTGCCATTTTAAAAAAACAACAACTGAGCTTAAAATACTTGTTAAATAAATTTTTCTCTTTGCTTCTCAAAGTGCCAGCAAGAATTCTGGACCAGTTATCAACCAACGACGTCACTGTCAGGGAAGGAGAAACGGTGACACTAATCTGCAACGTAACCGGCACGCCGCACCCCACGGTGGAGTGGTACCGGCTGATGACCGACTCCAAGGGTGTGGAGAAACAGAGTGAGTTGTGCCCCGGCTTCGCTAGTAAGATACCGCCTTTCTATCAACTGTTGCTTCTCATGAGCACGTCTTGTGGCTGGTGGTACACGCACTTTGGGGCACTGGACGTTGTTTGTGGAATGAATCATTTGTATTTATTGTGGATTATGGCTTGTGACTTGATACTGTTGTCCCGTTGAAAAAAAAAGTAACAATTCAAGATCCATTTTTACGCCTTTAGGCGCATCGGGCAAATAGGAAGAGCACCCATATTTTTACAGACCACTACATCCTGGTATTCATTTTAGGCTGGGTCGATCGGCGACGCCCAGTACCATGATAAAAATCCAGGCAGTGGATTTCAATCGCGGTACGTTGCAATTACGAGTCGGACTCGAAACATCTAAGCCACTGACGCTGCTTTTGCGTTCGAAAGGGAGTAAATAATAAATAATGATTGAACGTCTTTTTGTTTTTTTTGTTTTTTTTGTTAAATAATTAAATAAGCATCACCCCTCCCCCCAACCACCACCCACAAATACACACACAATTAAGTGTGCGTATGAGTGTGTGTGTGTGTGTAATTTGTAGTTGTCAAGCATGTACTTGTTCTCTGTTGTGTTGAACAGGGTACTCACAAATATGCTAGCACACGGAAGTATTTTTCTCTTACGTCTATATTTTTTTGCCATCTATTTATTGTCCCTGAACTTGTGACCGTAGAAAGACTTACGTGTTTTTTTTGCTAGAATCCAACCCCTGAAAATAAGTGGACAGTACAAGTGTATTTATTGATTTATATTTTGCACCATGTCAGATATCTTGTATTTTCACTTGTCACTTCTATTATTGTCCTTTATTTTGGCATTTCTGGTATACGTCTAGCAGAGTTGAGGATTTTTCTGTGTTAACAACATCAGTAAGTAAGTTTTACCCCACGAGGACATCACACAGAGCAATAAACAGCCGGTGACACACAGTGCCATCATTCGGATGAGTATCACCCGTGGAGAGGTCCCGGAAACCCTGTTCAATCGTTAGGTTATATTAGGGCCCCTGACAACAGCCAAGGTTTGACTTCAGAATAACAAAAAATTGCCTCCCACACGGGGGACGGCTGTGTATGACTACTTACGCACAACATAAGTGAATCATCCAAAACTGTACATAAGATTCATGTTAAACATATCGATGTGTGTCTAAGTGTGTACGTTCGTGAGTTTTTATACTGCATGAGTTTTTTTAAATCACAAATTTAGCTTTTTCGAAAAAAAAAAAAGGTGTCTGATTAAATAGCTAGAACAATAAAATACATTCACAAATGTTACTTTATTATCACATGTCAAATACCACAGTGACTGGTTCTGCTCCACTGAGTGATAAACTGAGGCATGGCAAGCTAGATGTTGTTGAGGCCCTTTCGGAGCGAGTAAGCCGAGCAGAGAGACAATTAGGTTATCATAGTCTGAAGAGAATGGTGCATCGGGGAGTGACTTGGGGTGTAAGCCGATGCTCCACACTCAGAAGAAAGAAAAGATGGACATACAATTAGACTGCTACTGGTGCCATCAGAGTTGGGACTCTTCGATGGCTGTTGAGTATAGGAACGGAGCACTTATGGGAATCTTCCTAGTTATGTGGTGTCGGTTCTTGAAACTCAACGCAACATAAGCCTAATACCACTAAAACATTATCCAAAAAAAAAAAAAAAAAATTAAATTGTATGGTTTAAAAAATGGAAGTTTATTTTCATAATTTAAATCTAGTGGATCTTCTTCATACAACCATGTTTTATGAATTACCATTGCTTTGGAATGAACATGAATGTACGGTATTCAAAATACAAATTTAAAAGACAGTCCTCGAAACCTGTATGAGACACATACCAGGATAGTAGCGGAAACTGTCTTTCTGTCTTGATAACTATCCATGAGAGGTTTAATGTGAAAGAGGAGCAGACGAACACGAAGGACACAAACGTACAAACTTAATGAGAACTTAAACTGCTGCATCGCGCAGAAAAAGAAATTATGAATGTTTTTATTGTTCACTTTCATTATTTATTTATCACAAACTACAACCAATTTATAAGCATGCAGCACATTTATGTTAACATATATTGGTGTTATTGTTCTAATTTATCCACATACACACACATACATACACACGCATACACAGTATATATATATATATATTTAATCATTGATTAGACCAACAAATTAACAACAGAAGTAAGGTAGCAACAACCATGAGCAGATTAGGAAAACAGAACAACAATGAGCAGATTAAGAAAACAGTCTGAGAACAAACAAGCGCATGGTTAAATTAAAAACTATTGTGGATTACGCTTATGTTCTCAGCACACTTATTTACAACAGTGAAACTTGGTCAACTTTTTCACCAGAGGATAAGCGGCTAAATAGCTTTTTACGTGCGATGCTTACGAAGAATACTTGGTATTAAGTGGCAGGACAAACATAAAGGTACTGGAAAGAGCAGGTATTACAAAAGTCATCTGAGGCTCTGTGTGGCTGGGTCACACTTGGTGAATGGGGGATTGTATAGTCCTTAAGAACATCCTCTATGGTGAAATACAGATGGGTAAAAGATGTCAAGGTGGGCCTTTACTATGATATAAAGATGTGTGTGCAAGAGAGAAGTGAATTATACAGGTATTATATATATATTCATAGGAACAAAATTATGTCGGCAGTGGTGCACGGCGGGGAAAAGAGGAAAAGAGAAGGATAATAAAGTGGGAAAAAAATAATCACAATTAGACTGGTAGCTGATCGTCTGAGAAGACGCGAACTAAATACATGCAGATGGAAACAACAGTAATAAAATTCCACGTGGAAGACTTTTCCTAACGCAGGCGGGTCTTGCTAGTCACATACGCCATCGCTATCGGCTGGGATTCCAATGCCTCCACAAAGCATAGAATAACACTATGGTCCTGGCAAGATAGAAAGATACTAATGAAAAACAATATATATATATATATATATATATATATATATATATATATATATATATATATATATATATATAACATTAAATTAAAGATCCATTGGAGGGCAAAGGAAATTGTTGTGCGGGAATAAAAAGCAATGGACCTATCAACCACCTGAAGTAGTGTAACGAAAGCAACGATTTAAGCATGACACGATTACAACTCACAGCTGCGGCAACCGTTTTGTTGGGTTGTCCCGTTGGGTAGTTGCCTGCTATAAAATCCCATGTGAGACGAGTCTTGACTGGTTACGTCATGTGAGTTGACGCTCAGCTCGCATGAACTCTGTAAAGGTCTGTCATATACCGGGATGAGTTGGTACAGAGACCGTGCTTCTGGCAGGCTATCTAGCATCTCTGTGGAGACTGCATTGTAAATATCTTCTTTCCCTTGTTAACCTTGGGTCACCCCCCCCCCCCACCCTAACTTTTTTAATCAGGGGGAAAATATCAGCCATTACACCGTCTTTGTGTAGTAAAGCATACCTGGGCACTACCTGCTAAAGCCTTTGGTAAAGTAAAGTAAAACACCCTCTACCACACCTTCAGACGTTATGGGCATATAGGGCTGGACGTATATTTTATAGACCAATCGGCATTCCCTAAGGGGTTGTGGTCGACATCAGGCCAGTCGTCTTCGTTTGCAATGACCAAACAACCTTTTAAGTAAAGTAAAGATCCATTTTCACGCCTTTAGGCGCAGCGGACATATTGAAAGAGCACCCATATTTTTACAGGCCTTCGGGACTAGGTGGGTAATGTGGTCACCATTACCCCGACTGTGTTTACTTCCCCAGGACAGCCATCCTGGTACCCATTTTAGGCTGGGTCGACCTGCGACGCCCCATACCATGATACACATCCACGCAGCCAGCAGTGGGTTTCGATCGCGGTACGTTGGATTACGTGTCCGACTCGCAACACCCAAATAATAAGTAATTACAACCTCCTGTGAGTCGAGTCGGGGATCTTTGGCACCACTCCCCCTCCCCCACCCCCCACCCCTAGCCACCCGGTCTGACATCCAAGCTGCGGCTCATTCAGTCGTAGTGGTGTCAAATCTTCAGGTGGCATACCAAAGCAGGACAATTAGTCAGTGGGTTACCTTTGACTGTTCCTCCTTTATACTTGGCTTCCAGAGGTTGGTGTCAGCGGCGAGGTCCTGATCATCCATAATGTCACCCGTGCTTGCGGAGACGCCTACGAGTGTGTGGCATTCAATGGTGTTCCGCCGGCCGTCAGTCGAGTCATCGAAGTGTTTGTTGAGTGTGGGTATCTTTCTTTCTTTCTGTCTTTCATGTTTTCTCTATTTTATCACTTTCTTTCTCTTTCTTTAAGCTCTTCCTTTTCTTCTTTTTTTCTTTTCTTTTTAGCAGATTATTTGTTTCAAACACGTATTCCTTGTTTAATTTTTTCTCATCCGTTCTTTTCTTTCTTCTTTCATTCATTCATTCATTCATTCATTCATTCTTTCTTTCTTTCTTTCTTTCTTTCTTTCTTTCTTTCTTTCTTTCTTTCTTTCTTTCTTTCTTTCTTTCTTTCTTTTTTCTTTTTTTTCTTTCTTTTTCTTTCTTTCTTTCTCTTTCTTTCTTCTTTCTTTCTTTCTTTTCTTTCTTTCTTTCTTTCTTTCTTTCTTTCTTTCTTTCTTTTCTTTCTTTCTTTCTTTCTTTCTTTCTTTCTTTCTTTCTTTCTTTCTTTCTTTTCTTTCTTTCTTCTTTCTTTCTTTCCTTCCTTCCTTTCTTTCTTTCTTTCTTTTTTTCTTTCTTTCTTTCTTTTCTTTCTTTCTTTCTTTCTTTCTTTCTTTCTTTCTTTCTTTCTTTCTTTCTTTCTTTCTTTCTTTCTTTCTTTCTTTCTTTCTTTCTTTCTTTCTTTCTGTTATTCATTCATTCTTTCTTTCTTTTTTATTTCTTTCTTTCTGTTTTTTTTTTTTAATTTATTTGTGTTGGTTATATACAATTATGCTTGTCTCTTTAGTAGCTTACTGATTTTACCTATATTTAATCAGACTACCGGTTGTGTATAAGAAAGTTTAAAAAAAAGCCTAGCTTCAATTATGCTTCTTACTAACACTAACATTTTTAAAATGTACAAGTCAACAGAGCTTGCGATCACCCAGAGAGAGAGAGAGAGAAAGAGAGAGAGAGAGAGAGAGAGAGGGGCACAGAGAGACAGACAGACAATCAGAGAGAGACTGAGAGACATAGAGGAGCAGAGAGATTGAGAGACAGAAAGAGAGAAAGAGAGACAGAGAGAAACAGAGAGAGAGACAGAGAGACAGAGAGAGAGACAGAGAGAGACAGGGAGACAGAGAGAGAGACAGAGAAAGACAGAAAGAGTCAGAGAGAGACAGAGAGAGACAGAGAGACGCAGAGAGATTGAGAGGCAGAGAGATTGAGAGACAGAGAGAGAGAGACAGAGAGACGCAGAGAGATTGAGAGACAGAGAGAGAGACAGAGAGACAAAGAGAGAGACAGACAGGCAGAAAGAGACAGAGAGAAACAGAGAGAGATAGAGAGAGAGACAGAGAGTGACAGAGAGAGAGAGACAGGGAGACAGAGACAGACAGAGACAGACATAGAGAGACACAGAGAGACAGAGAAAGACACAGAGAGACAGAGAAAGACACAGAGAGACAGAGAGAGACAGAGAGAGACAGAGAGAGACAGAGAGAGACACACAGAGACAGCGAGAGACAGAGAGACACAGGGAGACACAGAAAGACACAAAGAGACAGAGAGAGACACAGAGAGACACAGCGAGACAGAGAGAAACACAGAGAGATACTGAGAGACACAGAGAGACACAAGGAGACAGAGAGACACAGAGAGACACAGGGAGACAGAGAGATACAGAGAGAGACACAGTGAGACACAGTGAGACACAGAGAGACAGGGAGACACAGAGAGACAACGAGAGACACAGAGAGACAGAGAGAGACACAGAGAGACACAGAGAGACAGAGAGAGACAGAAAGAGACAGAGAGAGAGTCAGTCTGAGACAGAGAGACAGAGAGAGACACAGAGAGACAGAGAGAGACAGAGAGAGACAGAGAGAGACAGAAAGAGACAGAGACATGGAGAGACAGAGCGAGACAGAGAGACAAAGAGATAGAGAGAGACAAAGAGATAGAGAGAGATAGCGGGAGAGTGAGAGATAGTGGGAGCGACAGAGAGACACAGAGCGACACAGAGAAAGACAGAGAAAGATAGAAAAAGACAGAGAGGGACTAGGAGAGAGACAGAGAGATACAGAAAGAGGCAGAGAGACAGAGAGAGAGACAGAGAGAGGTAGAGAAAAGCAGAAAGGGACAGAAAGAGACAGAGACAAAGAGAAACTGAAAGAGACTGAGAGAGACTGAGAGAGACAGAGAAACATGGAGAGATAAGGAATGAACAAACTTTATTTTCAATGGGCTACAAATCGGGGACACAGGCTCGCCTTTCTTTGGACCATTCCAAACACTCACCATTAAGACAGAAGTTTTTTTTTTTTAAATCAGTATTGCATGTATGATAATATAATAATATGTATATTATAATACCAAGAAAAACACATCAGCAACGTGTAAAATGCGTGGGCACACTCGCATACGCACACACACACTCATCCCATACACACGCACACCCATTCACTCACTCACTTACACACCTACATACATGTAAACATACATTCACACACACACACACACCTATATAAACACACTCTACACACATACAAACACAGATGCATCACTCACCCACACATACATACAGACAGGCAATCATATGCACACACAGACACTCACACATACAAACACGCATACACACACATACAAGCACATACAAAGAGATACACACAGAGATAAACACACAGACACACCTCCACAGTCACATACATCCACACACATTTAGAAGCACACACATATACACATTAGGCATAGATGCACACAGGTATATACAGACACATCCACACACACACCTACACAGACACACGCACACAGATACACGCACATACACATACATACATTAGGCATTTATACATACAAAGACAACGAGAGACAGAGAGCAGACAGGGAGACAGAGAAAGACAGAGAAAGACAGAGAAAAGACAGACAGCGACAGAAAGAGACAGATAGCAGAGAGGGAGACAGAAAAGTAGAGAAAGAGAGAGAGAGAGAGAGACAGAGTGAAACAGAGAGAGAGACAGAGAAAAACAGAGACAGAGAGTCTGGGTCTCAGTAAGTGTTGGATATAATCTTTTTGCTTAGCCTGTGGAATATTTTTACTGTGCCTTCACCAGTCCACTTCTGGTAAATGACAGTGTTTCTGGGAATTTTATATTTAATTTAATTGAAAACAGGGAGATACTTTACTTACCTTTTTTACCTCTATTTGTAGGAGTGAGAAGAAAAGATAGGACGCATATTACATTCAACGCCTCATGACTTCACCTCTGCATCACGGTTGTTTAACTAAAAATGTCAGTGTATGATGGTATGTCAGGAGTTAATTTTATTCTTACCATCTTTTATCAACAGTCGCCCCAGAAATCTACTTACCCAACAAGAGAATCGGACAAGAGAAAGGCAAGGAGACCATTTTGGAGTGTAGTGTGACCGCTTTCCCACACGCAATCACAATGTGGCAGAAAGATGGCACGAAGATCTTAACGTCCACTCTTAAATACAGGTAACTTGTGGCTGACACGCAAGTGCTTAATTTAATATTAATAATAATAATAATAATAATAATAATAATAATAATAATAATAATAATAATAATAATAATAATAATAATAATAATAATGATGATAATAATAATAATAATAATAATAATAATAATAATAATAATAATAATAATAATAATAATAATAATAATAATAATAACGCTGAAAACCAAATAAATATAATCATATATTTGCATTGATAAGAAATTTAAAAATTCTACTAATAACACATACAAAAGATAGCTTCTTGACATTGTGGTGGGTGGAGGAGGGAGTAGACCAACCTAGCACTCTTATAAATGGACGTGAAAGCTACGTTTTTTTAATGAGGGGGGGGGGGGCTTATGGTGCAATCTGTCATGTCTGGCGCCACTGCAAGCATGTAGCATAAAATGGCATAACACATATGTCGTATTGTTGCATAACACAGGCACAAGTGACAAAGAAACGTGTCGAATAAAAATGATTATATTCTTGGTAAAGGACAAAAACAATCACATGGAAACATGCAAGAATGCATGTCGTAAGCTAAACGACAGTGTATGATAAGAGCCGGCCCCTCTGACGAAATGCATTGAACCTTCCTCGTCCTTTCCTCATACTCTAGATCAGTGTTTCTCAACCTTTTCACAGCCACGGCCCACCCAAACAGGCGAAATTGTTTTGCGGACCACTTGACAAGTAAAACACAGAAACCTAATCATTCTAACCGTCGCGTTACGTAACCATCGGGTGCTCTATTATAAATTGTATGTGGTTCACGGGGATTCACGTTGTATACCTGACTGATTCTCACAGCTGACGTGGTAATCCTACATACTGCAATCCTAGAAGTGAAAATATAACTACCTTCTCTATCCAGGTATAGGGTTAGGCAGACAATTATGAATTCCTACCTGGGTTTTTCCACTGCCTACAAATGGAACTAGCCTCACCGGTTGAAGAACACTGCTCTAGTGAGCCTTTTTTTAATGTTACTGATGCGGACATAGACAATAATATATTGCACAAATAATTTAGTGCTATATTTCTTATTTCTAAATAGTGTACATCAACATGTAATGAAGCAAAAATTTTGAATTATTTTCACTGAAATACAAAAATCGCCATGTCTTTCACACATTCTATATCTCAAAAAAAAAACCTCAAATATTAACCACACAATCGTTCTGCTATATTTTGTAAAATTCGGAAATAATATACCATCCGTCAGTCTGTCAATAGCATGTCCTTTGCAGAACCTTGCTCCTTTAACAATCCTTCGTAACACTTCTCGATCACAAGCAAGATGTCCGGCGTCTAATACACCCATCTGGAGATTATTCGCTACATCCTGCAGCCATCTTATCTTCTCTTCCAAAGCATATACCCCTCCATTTATGTTCTCTCTAAACTTTCGTGACGTTCAAGTGACCAAAATATTTCAATTGTCTGTGTTTTATCGTCTTTAATAGCCAGCCGTCTTCAATATTTAGTTCTTGAAGTATGGATGTATTTGTTCTTTTCTTTACCCAAGATGTTTTTAGAACCCGTCTGTAAAATTTGTATTCAAAGGCATTTATGCTCGGTTTAGCTTTTTTAGTAAATGTCCAAGTCTCACTTGCGTATGTTACAATTGGAAAGATGCATGCTCTTAGAAATCTAATTTGTGTAGTTCTGTCTGTCCCACTCCATAATTTACAGACCAAACCATACACCCATACCATACGAGGTCCCGCAAAATGTAGCGGATAATAAATTATGCAGTATATTGTTTTTGCCATAACAATTGACATTCATTGTGATGAAAACATTGTTTTGATGTAATGTAACACTTTCTCTAATAGAAGACATTTGGACAGACTTTAGACAAATATATTTCGAAGAATTTACAAAAAAATACTGTAAGAGGACAACCTGTGAGGCAACTGCATCTATAAAAACAAATCAAATTTTGTCTAAAACTAGTAAACAGACAAGAAAAGGCAGTCTTGAATAATAGCTAATTACGAAAAAAATCAAAAAACACTCCTGCTCTTAAGCTCAGACAAGATGCAACGCAGCCGTGCTGAACAGATCTGGTATAATTTAGAAGTGATATCTGACTATATGTCAACCCACGATTTGCTATTGCACACTTAAAGAACACAGCAATAGGAATAAACTCACAGGGAGCAAGTACAGCAGGGATCTACCAGTCATCAGTAGAAGTTATCCTCGTCGACAAGTGTTTCGGCCCACGATTCTCCTAGACACTTTCGGAGGTGGGCCCACCTGAGTTCATGAAGCTCAGGGCTGGTACCCTGCTGCACGAAATTACCGGATGGTGTTTTTCTTTCGGATAGGGACAAGACGACTTGGTGGTTTCGCAGAAGGTACTGTGAGATAAGAAGCCGCCGCGGTAGCCTAATTAAAGCAGTCAGCATACCTGGACGACCGAGCGACAAGCTTACGATTGGGTTACCGGACACATGTTGGACTTTATTAGCAGGTGGCAGAGGATCACTGGCAGACAACAATATACAACCACGTAACATTTAATTCTTACCCGCATAGGATGGCGGGTTACACCTGGCTGGAGTATCCACTGGGCAGGCCCTAATTACAACTTCTTTCGAGGTTGAACAAGGTAGCTGGGATCTGCCTTGTTAGGCTGCCGTACAAATTAAGACTTTTAAATTTCAGAATGGTATAGTAAACCTTTTGCTAACTGCCTGGAGGGGACAACCCGGTTGATTTATAAAACATGGCTTTCCTAAAGCTTTGGATCATTAAAGTTTATAATGCATTATCAGATTTACATTTCTTTATTCCTCTTTTATAAAAACTAATCAATACTTCTTAATTTTCTGATCATTTTGAAAACTCAACTACAATGCTGTATAAACATAGCATAAGTAAACTAAGTCGCAGGGGGTCCTTTCTACGCCAGGGATGCATCGTGAATATAATGATAGATCCAACTAATCCACATTCAATGGGCGACGTGGCCGGTACTTCCCAAGATATACCCAGGCACTCATTTTAGGCTGGATTGACCTGCGAGCAAAAGTCACTTTTAATGAGTTCAAATCCACACTAAGCGTAGCTGGCAAAAATTGATCTGTCTCCAAGATAAAAAAAAAACCTAAACTATTTATCCAAAAAATTCAACGCAAGTAAAGAAAAATCAACGAGCAGCTCTAGCGCACTATATGAGAACAGCAAACTACTAAGCGAGAGAGGGAGAGAGAGAGAGAGAGAGAGAGAGAGAGAGAGAGAGAGAGAGAGAGAGAGAGACCAAGAAAGAGAGGATTGGAAGGAGCCAAAGAGACACTACGAAGACCAAATATGACACTAACACAAGCTACTCAGCCAGCAGAATACAGGAACTACAGTTAACTCGTCTCTACGACCTTTTATCACATAGGTATAAGTCAAGAGGAGAAAAAGCACAGATTGTTGGCATGCTGTTGATCACATCACTCATTGATTGTCTAATTGTCCATAACATTACAAGTCTAATATCACAAGCCCAATGTGCCAATGGCGTGAAAGGGTCCTTTAGTTGACAAAGCAGGGACTTCTTGCACATGACCACGGCTCCCAGGCGGGCAGCCTAAAATTTGTGCTAGGCTAAATTGAAGGAGGTAAAGCTGAGGTAAGATTCTCGTGTCTATACACAACTTTCTGTCCCATGTACATTCAGCCAGTTCTGAAAAAAGATAATCTTTCATGCTATGGTCTCAAACTGGTATCAAACTGTCCAGCATCTAAAATTCGTACTAGGCTGAGTTGTGGGAAGTAAAGCTGACGTAAGGCTGTCCACATCACTCAAGTGCATACTGGTCTAGGCAAACATTAATCTAACACCGTACATTCAACATGCCTTAATGAGTCTTTTTATCTTCTTATTGGTGTCTGCAGAATGGTATTCTAGGACTGAGAAACAAAGACCTTCTTCCCAAGTAGTGCCACACAGCGTGCAAACTATTTAAATATCCATAAACTGACAACCACCATCTATTATTACCGAGGGACTGAACCTGTGTAGTACGCTACATAAACTGATATTTCTACTTTTACATTGTGCGATCTTTTGAAGCCTCTCCTATAACTACTTCCTAGCATCAATATTTAATAGCTCAACTGACACGATAACTGTGTAATTTCAGACTGTTCTTCTTTTCCCTGCCCTTCGGTTTCATATGCTCAGGTCAGACCGTCAAGTGGGCTGTCTTTTGGCGTGTCAATCCATGGTTCTCCACAACTTGTTCTACACATTTTGCTCTGAGGCCAGGTGTCTTTTCTATTCAGTTGTGCAATTTTTAAAAAAATAGTTTTCAAACATGCCCTAAGGTAGGTTTATGTTTAAACCTCATGTGCCTCATGGCACACGGGTGTAACCTATAAGTGCTGATCTTCTTTTAACTTAGGTCTCATTTCGAAGAAGCTCAGCACAGTGCACAGGCTCTGTAGCACCGGTGAAGATCCTGAAATACTTTGGGTAGATTTTCAACTCCAAATTTTGACCGGGCAGCGCCATGGGCTAGTCTTTTCTATTTCCAAATGCCTAATGATTTGTTTACGTGCGCCGCCATACACACGGGCTTCCGATATCACTACCTAGAGACCAGGCGGAATTACTAAAAGTCCAAGTCCACGTGAAAAAATTACAGCTCTTACCCTGGAATGAACCCGAAACCTCTAGCACTCGAGGCAGACACCATGCCTTGAGATCACGCAGCTTTCTATAAGTGTTCTCAAGATAAATATGTACCTTCACTTTTGACAAAACCATAAGGCTTTTCTTCAAAGTCTTATTTAATTCCTCACCTTATTCTCATCATCATCATGTAGCAGGTCCTTTGCAGAACGTCGCTCTCATCACAGTCTGCCTGAAAGAAAATCGGTCTCTCGCCATTTCTTCCGCCTCATGCACTTTCACACTCAAGGAGTCACTTATATCCTGTGCCCATCTTCGTGTCGGTTGGCCCCTGCGCCTCCTTCCTTATTCTACTCTTATTCTACTCCCTATAATTATAATTACGTTTTTGTTTCGTAATACGTCTCATTAAATCAAGTGTCCGATAAAGGTAAGAAAAGAGATTTAAAAGTTCATCAGCAACACAAATGGGGGTGACAAAAAGAATGTTTCTGCTGTTATTACAGTAAAACCTCGTTAAGACAAATTCTAACGGACCGAAAAATCAAGTCTCTGTTAAAAATGAAACGTTTCCCTAACCGGGTAATCAAACGCATATATCTCATGTTAACTGATTTGTCCTCTTAAGCGAGTTTGTGTTTAACTGTTGCATTTATCACAAAATATATAATTTTGAATTGCACCTACGTTACCTGTCATAATAACCCTATCTTCTTCATCCAAGTTTATATATTTCTAAGTGCTAAACCTGCACACCCAACAAATGAAAGTGACCACATTATTTCTATCTCAGAGTGGAAATCTACGACGAGCAGAAGAACAGTCTGACCCTCAGTCTGCGCATCTTTGACATCCACGAGTCGGATTTCGGCACGTACACCTGTGTGGCCTCCAATCCTCTTGGAGAGGACAAGGAAACAATGATTCTCTACGGTAAAATATACAATCCTACAGTTAGTAGCAGCAGCTCAGACGTCAAGAAAACATGGGGGAATTGGGGAGGGGGGTGTTCGGGGAGCCCCCTCACACATTTTCGGATTGGGGGGGGGGGGGGGGGGGGGGGGGGGGGTCAAAATTATGTTATTTCAAAGTGCGTAATAATTAGGTAATAATTAGTCATAACAATATGCTGAATTTAGAAAAATATAAAAATATATATTAAATAATATGGTTTGTGAAAACAAATATTTCTTCTACTTTGCGTTTACAGGTTGTAGGCTGCGGTGGAAGGCTCTGGACTTGTTTCACGTCTTGAGTTCTGCATGCACTTCCGTTTTACATGTCTGCTTTATTTGTATACATACTGTTGGTTCCTCGCAACCAACAAATAATAATAGATACACACACACACACACACACACATATATATATATATATATATATATATATATATATATATATATATATATATATATATATATATATTAATTATATTTATAAATGTATATTGAAATCCAGCAAGGTGGTTAGAAAGCAGATAAAAGATAAAGAGCTGAAATCTCTAGATGGAATAGCAAGAGAGACGCAAGTAGCAGTAAAAAAAAATAGAGCTCTTTACATCAATTATCAGGATAAAATCACAAACTGTCACACAATAATAAAGGAATATTTCAAGTGATCATTAAAGATAACACAAACTGATGCGTCTAATTTTTGAGAAACTTCTTGATAGACATGTTCCAAAAAGATCTCTCAGATATCCAGTCTGTAGAATTAGAGCTGAATATACACTGTGTGAAATAATTTAACCAAGACATTACGAAAGCTCTCACATTCTATAAAGGCGGTGAAGCTGCTTTTTCCGATGACATAACAACAAATGCATTTAAGGCAGTAGTATCCGACAGAAGACTATTAACATAATAAGTATGCCAAGTGATGACATAAAATAATTGTTATACTTAAAAATTGTATCTGTGCAAATAATTGCCCTACAAATTTTCCATTTAGGTTAAAATATTACGTTGATTGTTGCTCAAAGTCTAATATTACATTGATCCGAATGGCTTTAACTCAGTTAACCTTCACAGACTACCTTGAACACACGAGGACCACGTTGGCCACAACCAGTTCCACAAGCACCACTGAGGATTTGTATCTGCAGCCCACTCCTGGTAGAATATTTGAACCGTTTATCCCCACGGGGATCCAGCGACAACATACAGCAAACAGCGATCATTTTATGGGTCTTGACCTAGATCCTAAGTCCGGCAGTCAGGCGACACATCTTCCCTATGATTCTGATGGTCCGCATGGTAAGTTGAGATGAAGTAGTTGCCGCATTATCATTATGTGACATGCGGCCATAATAAGCTGTCACACGCAAACTTTCTTTAAGACTTACCCATGCTCGTATGGCCTATGGCTTAGAGCTTAGTGAACATGTTTGCCAGTTTCACAATCCTCGAGTTACATGGTTCGATTTACGTGGAGGGTGGATTATTTGAAATAATAAACGTTGTCATGGTTACTGAACAGTGGTACCAGAGTTGCATTGTGGAATAGTTTGAGGTCTCGCCATGTAGCATTCTCAAAGACAGCAGTAAGTGGACCCATCATTAACTGAGTGACAACTGGTCTATAATTTGTCTAGCCCTGCATGCCGAATACACCAGAAGGCGTGGAAAATGGTCTTTTACTGTTAGCAGTTGTAGACAACCTTTATTGTGTCCACCTGGGTTCATCTGGGTAAAGATTCGACATCATGACATTCAGGACAAACCCAGGTTAGGTCCATCTCTCTCCTCAATAACCAGATTGTCTTAAACCCCTAAGTCTCGAATCAAAGATAGATCCCGCAAGCATTCTTCGCTCATATTTCTCTTCAGGTTAAAAAGAGTTAGTTGTGTATCCTCTTCAGGACGTTGCAGAACCAACCCTAGCATTTCTTAGCTGTTGTTTTTCTATGCCAATTTTACGCTCATTATTTGTCTGTTGCACTTGAACCGCCAGCTCTCGGTACCACTGTCAAAACCAATGCAAGGTAAGTCGTTTGCAGCTGCGTTCGAACCCGGCACTACAGCATTACAAAGCGCGTTCGCAATGCCTAAGCCAGAGAGAGCGACAGGTACAGTTTTTTAATATCATCCATTTCGCTGGCTACCTTGTGCCACAGGCGTGAGATCACTCGCGCCTTGTTCTGTTGTAGTACACATCCAAATGGGGCCAGTTCAGCCAACCCATCTGCCTGCTTATTCCCAAACACGTCTGAATTGCCCTGGCAAAATATCCATGTGACTTTCTCCACCTGAGACTCTCGACTGATGCGACCCATTCGATACGAAGAAACCTGATTCCACCTTCCTGGGCAGGCTATTGCGAATCTTATATCATAACACATGTGGCTGGGATTTTCTCCAACCACGGTAACGCCGCAGTTACCGCCTCAACCTCTATGCTCATGCTGGATGTGAAAATTTCGTATGCCAAGTTCTTCTCAGTCGTCGTCCCACCCGCCGTTTTTTTTTTTTTTTTTTTTTTGCAACGAAGCTCTATCCACTCTTTCTGGTCCTAAAATATCATTTTATATAATATCTCCTGGCCTAGAGGTGATCTCGGACAGCTGTTAAACCTCTGCATTTGCACTTTCCGCCGCCCATTCCCTGCATTCGCGTCCAATATAATTGTAACTTATTGCAGTTATTGCAGTTCTTCTCTACTCTGCGGCGACCATATTCTTGCCTAATCTCTTTAATGTTACAGACAGTGTTGATTTTCTTTACAGCCTGGACCGTCCGGGATCTGATCCTCCTAGGTCTCTCATCCTTTACAGTGCCTTATTCTGTATGAAGGATATGTTCCGTTTCAATGACAACTCTAAGATGGTTCCAAACATGCAGTATACCATGTCTACTAGAAAAGGCTAGCATAGACAAGACATGTCTTATACACTACTGGTGTGTCCCTCGTGTGGACACGACACACATTTTTATCTGCTCATTTCCTTCTGTGTGTAATTTCCATTTCTCTCGGGATAACAACCGAAAACACGTTGGACAGACGCAAGTTCTCATATTGTAATGCTGGGGACTCACTGGTAGTAGAGTAAAGGCAATTAGTCACTCACATAAGCATATACAAATATACACATACATAACCCCATTTTGTTGCCAAAGATTGCAGTTATGCCTTTATAGGAAACTCCCCATGTAACCTAATTGAATATGTGTCTTTTCTTTGTAAATATTTCTGCTAAGAGTACAGCTTGATGTTTTCCTAACAAGTTATTTTAAAATCATTACGCACCCTCTTTTTATAATCACTCCTTCCGGTGTTAATTTCAGAGCACCATTTTGGGAAAATCAAAGCATAGACCCACTGCCACCCTAACAAGCATGTCGTAAAAGTAGACTTATTAGAGATTTGCCCGAAAGACGAGGAAATAACAGTCTGCTTAACAAATAATGCAGGTTTGTAAAACGCATGTGCACACAATACTCAAATTCTGAAGCAAGAATGAAGTCGAGAAATGTACGAATAATCAGAACTATCCACTGGCGTTTACAGCCAGTAAACATGAACAAGAGAAAGAAGATTCGCACCCCGAAGATGATTATCTCAAAAATCTTTAACTGCAATCTTTGTATTCTGTTTTTAAGCATATTCTACTAAACATATTAGATTATTAAATTATGTGTTTTATCTGTGTTATTGTCATCAGAAAAAGTCAGTCTACATAATTCACGAATGTCTAAGGTAATACAGACATCATCTTGAGCGGAAGCTGGATGTGAGAGAGGCAGTGTAGGCTCAACAGAAGGATGCTGGACAAACTAACATCATTGCATGGAAGGAGTTGCCTCTTAGAAGAGGATCTATTACCTAGAACAGCTTTTGACTCTTCGAAACATATTTGTATTTACTGGTTATGCCTGCATTCTTTGCTTGTTTTATGTTATGAGAAGGGAAAACAAACTGGAGCACATCGAACGGTAGGAAAGCTAGAGATGGAGACGATGCTGAAGCTGACGGAGAGAGAAGATGCTGGGCATTTGTTGACATGGATTGGGTCTGTGTTTCAGAAATGATTTTATGTACACGAGACAGAATCCTGTGGATAATTATGACAACCAATGTCATAGGGATGAATTAAAAAGGAGTAGAGAAATGCGAACAAATGTCTGGGCAACAACTTCTATCAACCGTTTTAAGGAAGATAAGGTGGCGCTACACTGGGCACATTCTGAGACGAGATCAGCAGAGAATCACCAGACAGGCACTAAAATGGGAAATAAACCGATTAGGAGGCACGGTGGCCTAGAAGAAACCCTAAGACGAAATATGATGAGAGAGGCCAAAGCTGCTGGATTGGATTCCATTCATGGTATTTAAATGACTGCATAGGATAGAACGGAATCCAGGAACGAATGAACGAACATTATTTTCAAAGGGTGACAAATCGGGCACGCAGGCCTGTCCTAAATTCGGCACTTCCAAACAGCCGTCTTTCACACAGCAGTTGTATTTTATCAATAAATAGAATATGCATAATTTCCACCGGAGTAGACTGCGAGCCCTGTGTGACATATTGGCACAGCAGGAGAATGAATGAATTAATGAATGAATAAATGAATGAATGAATGAATGAATATCATAGGGTATGGTTAATTAGACGGTTTTTTTTTTTTTTTTTTTTTTTTTTTTTTTTTTTTTTTTTGCATATTTAGTTTACCATTACCTAAATCTTTATCAGTTTTCATTTTTTCCTGTCCACAGATTCAAAAGTATTAGCCTCAAGTGACAAAAGAAATACGGCCTGCAAGGATAACTTCTTCATTAGCGCCACTTTGCTAACTATGGTCTCTTGTTCGATAATTCAAATACATTTATTGTGACGGTCTAATAATTATTATAATATACATTTTAGCGATAATGAATCGTTACCAGAATGCTGAGTCTGTCATACTCAAACGTAAGAGAGGGAAATTGTAGTTATCAGCTTGTGAAGATGTCATTGGCTGACAGAATCATCTCGCTTTATGAATAGTTAGTCATCATAGACATCAATGTTTGCGAAGATGTTAGCTTGTGAAGATGTCATTGGCCGACAGAAGCATCCCGCTTTATGAATAGCTTAGTCATCATAAACATCAATGTTAGCGAAGATGTTAGCTTATGAAGATGTCATTGGCTGACAGAATCATCCCGCTTCATCAATAGCTTAGTCATTATAGACATCAATGTTGGCGAAGATGTTAGTTTGTGAAGATGTCGCTTCATAAATAGCTTATTCATCATAAACATTAATGATGGCGAAGATGTTAGCTTGTGAAGATGTCATTGGCTGACATAATTATTCCGCTTTTTTAATAGCTTAGTCATCATAAACATTAATGTTGGCGAAGATGTTAGCTTGTGGAGATGTCATTGGCTGATAGAATCATCCCCCTTCACGAATATCTTAGTTATCATTTTTAATCCCAACCGTATCATAATGTGTACTCTAACATTTTACATTTGATGAGAGCATACTAAAAATCTGGCCTCCACGGTCCACTACCATAATAAATGTAGCCTTTTCACGGCATGTTCGTTCAGTTTTCATAGAGTTGATATACTCTCCCTTTCATAGAGTTGATATCCTCTCCCTTTCATAGAGTTGATATCCTCTCCCTTTCATAGAGTTGATATCCTCTCCCTTTCATAGTGTTGATATCCTCTCCCTTTTATAGTGTTGATATCCTCTCCCTTTCATAGAGTTGATATCCTCTCCCTTTTATAGTGTTGATATCCTCTTCCTTTCATAGTGTTGATATCCTCTTCCTTTCATAGTGTTGATATCCTCTCCCTTTTATAGTGTTGATATACTCTCCCTTTTATAGTGTTGATATCCTCTCCCTTTCATAGTGTTGATATCCTCTTCCGTTCACGGTGTTGATATCCTCTTCCTTTCATAGTGTTGATATCCTCTCCCTTTCATAGTGTTGATATTCTCTCCCTTTGATAGTGTTGATATTCTCTCCCTTTCATAGTGTTGATATTCTCTTCCTTTCATAGAGTTGATATCCTCTCCCTTTCATAGAGTTGATATCCTCTCCCTTTCATAGTGTTGATATTCTCTCCCTTTCATAGTGTTGATATTCTCTCCCTTTCATAGTGTTGATATCCTCTCCCTTTCATAGTGTTGATATCCTCTCCCTTTCATAGTGTTGATATCTTCTCCCTGATACTACCTGAAGTTACAGTTGGTACTGACAGAGATATGCGAGGTCTATGATACTGGCGCGGACAATTTCATATACACGTA